CTGGCTTATTACCCTCCTTTCTGCCCCTCCATCCTCTGCATTCATTCAACCAGTATTTATTTCCACTGAATGCTGCAGACAGTCTTGGGATGGAACAAAGGACACTTAGTGTCGATGGCTGCACCTAGAACACTAGGGTCCCAGAGCCCAGTATGAGAATGAGCAAGTCCAGATTCTTCTTCCAGCCCTACCACTAACTGGCTGTGCAACCTTAGGCAAGAAACTTGGCAAAAGCTTCTGGGCAGTTGCAAAGATCAAATGAAAGGCTGCGAAAGTGCAGTGGCCTGCACAATGCAGGTGCCCAGTATTTGTTGAATGACTGAAAGTATAAATTCCTATACAAAAGTGAAAGTCAGTTGTCCAATGTAGATTATATTCTAGTTGCTGAGAGAGATGTTTAAAAATAGCGCTGCCTAACTTCATGCACAGGTGCTAACACAGTGAGGGGATGGGCACCTTCACCTTGGCAGCACACTCACACTGGCTGTGCAGACTTAGGGTGCTGTGGGGTACAGCTTGGGCCTCATCTTGGGTCACCATGACTAAATCAGCACTTGTGCGTGAACCCCCTGTCGTCCTCTCCTAGATGCTGGACCCAGTGTCAGCCCCGTGAGAGAAGAGGAGGTTCAGTTCCTGGGGCTAACGCTCGGCTCAGCGGAAGCACAGACGGCTTTGTACATACTTTTTTCTCTCGTGCTTCTTGGAGTCTGTGGCTTGGCATTTCTGTCATACAAATACTGCAGGCACTCCAAGCAAGGGAAAACACAGGCAAGCCAACAGGAATTGAGCACCATTTCTTCATTCTGACCCACAAGTTACCACTCCTCCAGATCTGCAAGGCAGGCCTAGGTTCCTTATAGATACCTTTGCTGGCCGCAAAATTTCTTGATATGAATTCCTTAGGATTCTGCCCATACCGGATTCTCTATAAAATCCTTCTGCACTGTAAGAGATGACTTAGGTCTTGAAGGATTTTGAGTTCCTGATTAGAATGGAAATGTCTTGCCCCAGTATTGGAAGCGCATTGGGGCATTAGAGGAGCCTGCAGGTGGCTCTGGTGGACATGTGCAGATGTTGGTCTAGTGGTCGTGTGAATCACCTAATTGAACTTAAGCCGGCTGTTATAAGTTTCAGAGATTTTAAGGTGGAACAGTGAATAAAAACCACAGCAATCCTTTGTGAAGAAGAAAGCCACTCTTTCGTGCAGATGTACTGTCATCTCTTGCCTTCTCCTCAAGTTCCCTCCTAGCCTTGCATCTTGTGTTTCTCAGAAAATAAAAACTGTACTGTGAACAGTGTCCTGTCTCTTAACGGTTGTTGCCCCTTGAGAAACTAGGTTCAACAGAAGTTATAGTCACACAAGCCATTTGGGGCTACTAAGCTTTCCCACCACACCAAGGCTTTCTGCTTATATTATATTCCCTGAGGCAGATACCATAACATGCAGAAAAGCATGGCCTTCGAATAATCCTTCATTCCCCACCCCAAACACCCCACTGCCACCTTCTAAGATGTTGTCCCTCACTCTCCCAACTATCAGGTGACTTTTAAGCAACCCAGCATGGCCTTCAAGGTCCACATGATCTGACCTTGGTTCATTTAACCCATTTCCCTCTTCTCCTCCAAGTTTGTGGTAATTCTGAACTGCATGGAGGTCCTTGACTATCCCTTATCACTTATGTCTTTGCAAATGCTATTCCTTCTGCCTAGGATGCCCTTTCTTCTGAAAATTCCTTCAAGTTTCTGCTTTAAAAATGTACTTCCTCCTCTGGATGGCTTCCCTGTACTCCCCAGGAATATTCCTTCCTCTTCTTTGCTTGCAAATATCTCCCATTGTACGTGACCACATAATATTGAAATTGCATATTTCTATGCTATCAGCTTCTTCAAGGACCATGCCTCGCTGTCTTTGCAAGCATATTTTGGAGACAGCAATGGAAAGCACATGTGCTTCATTCGCAAAACACAGCCAGAGCAGTGATAGAAGCAAAGAAACATGTGGTCTTTAACAACCCCCTTGAACATGCTAAGAGACAATCTCAGTATGAAACACTTAACTTATTTGGTCCATATATTGTTTCTAGATGAGCTGGGAAAATGTTTTTAAAAATAAAGCACAATTTTTGACTGGCTTTTTTTTTTTTTTTTTGACCGGGAAGGGGATCGCAACCCTTGGTGTGGTATCGCCTGCACCACGCTCAGCCAGTGAGCACACCGGCCAGTCCTATGTAGGATACGAACCCACGGCAGGAGCGTCGCTGCGCTCCCAGCGCCACACTCTCCCGAGTGCGCCATGGGGCTGGCCCTTGACTGGCCTTAAAAAAGTAATCATGCTTGAAATTTTTCTCATAAAATCATTCCTTACCTGAATTATTATGTCTACAGAAAATTCCTATCAAAACATTCCACCACTGTGAGTCCCAACCTGGCAGTCAGGAACTTGTGGTGCACAAGCATTTTCTCCATCAATAATAGGAAAAGTTTTTCAGATGGGGTTGGAGATGGTTCTAAAACTGATATTAAAGACATTTCTCGGGCAGAAAGATTCATATCATTATCTGTCAATTATATCTAAATTAATCTCAAAATTCAATATAACTTTTTTGGGGGGACACTGACAAAATAATATAGTTTCACATATTAAATAAATAGTTATTAAAGTAGTTTGATAACAGAGCAAATGTAATAATAAAGGAAGAGAGAGCCTAGACATAGACCCAACTGCATATGGGAACAGAGCATGTAACAAAGGTGGCATGCCAAATTGGAAGGAAAGATGAATGACCCCATAAATGGTGGCTGGTCAACAGTTTAGTTCTTGAGGATGTTAGCCACATTTAGGGAGAGAGCCAGATCCCTTCCTTGGATACCAGATTTAAACATTAATAAAGGAAACCATGAGACTACTAGGACACAACAAAATTAATTTCTGAAGTGGGAAAAGTATTTATGAGCAAGATTCAAGACCCAGAAGCCATAAAGAAAAACACTAATATGGGCCGGCCCGGTGGTGCACTGCTACAGTGCGCCGCTTGGGAGTGTGACGGCGCTCCCGCCGAGGGTTCGGATCCCACATACAGACCGGTTCCCGCTCACTGGCTGAGCGAGGGGCAGGCGCAGCACCGAGGGTTGCGATCCCGTTGC